AATCAATACAAATAAATTAAAATATGTTGCTTTGAAAATGAGATTAATTAATAGAAGAACAGAACATAATCAATGTCCTCTGAATTTGATCTTGAGAGATATGCAAGGTGAGAATGAGAAAAACAATTTATTAATTAAGTTTATAGGTAAATAAGATCTTCAAATATCAACCATTTTCTTTTCCATTAAAACTATTCTTTTTATTTTATTTATTGAAATGTTTATCATATTCCTGCTAATAATAAATTAGTCAAATGAATTATAGATCAGTTTGTGATAAGCTGTCATGTTGATTCCTGAATATGAAGCCAAGGGCATTTGCATCTACCGATCAAAACAAAAATACAGATCTTATGGACAATGTAGATTGATTACATTGAATGCCTCCCCCCCCAAAAAGAAGAATTTATTATGTACTTATGCTACTTAAAAGTAACCTCAGTTTATCTACTTTTCATAATTTCACTTTGTACAATTCTATCATTGTACTAAATACTTATTCTCACAAAAACAAATAGAGAAATAAAACATCTTAGGACTAACTCTTACATGGAGTAATGGTTACATAACAATCCAAAGAAATCTAGAAAACACATTATAGATAGACAAACATTTAATTTAATTCTCCATTAAAACTAATTGAGGTTAAAAATAACAACTTTTCCTTCTAATTCAATTTCCCAATTATTACAAGAAGTAAATAAAGAATCAATATAGTTCTATTGAAAGTAAACTAGAAGGTGAAAAGATTTTTAGTCGTAGTAGGATGCTTAGGAAAATAATATATTAGAAACAAATAGATTAAATAATTAGAAAATAATGTATATCTTTTCAAATTAATTGTTGATAAAAACAAAATTATACTAAATAATAGATTACACTGACTATTAATTTGATTCAGTGAAGAATTAAAAAAGAAATGGTATGATTAAAAAAAAAAAAAAAAAAAAGAATAGCAGTTAGTAATATAATTGTAAGTATGTAATATAATATCTCAACTTTCAATTGACAAAAAATTACTGATCTACAAGACAATACTGAAACCTATATAGACATACGGACTTGAACTGTGGGGGACAGCAAAAGCTTCTAACATCAAACGTATTCAATCCTTTCAATATAAAGTCCTTCGAACAATAGTTGATGCTTCGTTCTATGTAAATAACAAAATCCTACACCATGACCTTAATATCCCATTTGTCCTAGACCTTATTCCAGAAAAAATCACCAAATTTCACCCGAACCTTACCTATCCAAATCCCCTTGCACAATCTCTATCCAGCATCACCCATCCTTACAATCCTCCTCGAAGGTTGAAGCGGCAGTGGCCCAGAGACCTTCTGTGAATAAGCATCTATTGGAGTTTTGGCAATGGCCAGATCCTCCACTCAAGCCCGAGTGTGTGTGATTAGGTTAGTTCTTTTGTTTATATACATTTATTTTATGTTATTGTATTTATTATTATTAAGTTTCTGTATTATTTATTTTTATTATTGTAAATAGAGTGTGAGTGTGCTCTCTGGACACTATTATAAATGACCTTGATGTGACAGAATGTAATATTTCTAAATAAACAAATATATATTAAAAAAAAATATAGCAACCCACAACATCCAATATTATTTTGTGAAAACCCATAATTGAGAAAGATTTCTTCATGTGATAGATAAACCTTCCTTAAAGTCTCTTTTTTCTCATTTTAACTTCTTTTATAGTTCTAAAACATTTTAGAGCCTAACAACGACTTCTGCTATTGCAATTACTTTTATTCTTAACATTATATTTTTCATTAAAATAGTGCTGCATAAATCTTTTATTTTTTTAATAATATCTGTTGGCTGGTACTAGCTTATGTGGTTTAGCAGCATGACACAATGAAGGAACTGTGAAATTATATTTTGATGTTCTTGTATGATTTATAAGGTAGGTGTAATTAAGAAAAGTAACAAAGTGTTGTTTAGAAATCTATTTAAAAAAAAAATAAAATTTCATTATTTACAAAATAATATTATCAATAATCTTGATAGAGGTGTAGGATTAGTAGGAATAACCTTGAGCAGCCCGATGTTGGAAATGTGGATCTACAGCTTGGTGTTTGATGTTTTGGAGTGCTTTCATGTATTCTGCATTGAGTGAAGATGCAATGGCTTTGTAAGCTGCAGTTTGAGCGACTGTTCCATCTGGGTTGAGTGGTGCAGGCATTTGAGCCTCAGGGTTTTTGGAGTGAACTGGTGAATATCTTTGGTCGGAGTGTGGTTCTTGGTTGTAGTGGCCTTTGGCGTATTCCTGAGAAGAAGTTAAGTCTGGATGTGCCATTGCAAGCCTGTGGGCTTCCATAAGTCGCTTGAGAGCTGCATCGAAGGCAGCATCGTGAGCTGCCTTAGCTTGTTGAACCTCTGGGGTCAGTGCGACTGTTCCATCTTTGTTGAGAGGTGCAGGCATATAAGTCTTTGCGTTTTGAGAAGTGGAATATCCATGGGAGTACTGTCCTTTGTCATATGAAGGGACTTTTGTGTTATGTATTGAGTTTGAAGAGGAAGAAAATCCACCCGGATGATGTCCTTTGCCTTGAGAATCATATTCATGGTGGTCATGCCAACCCTGATCAGGCGGAGAAGTCAGGTCCGGGTGTGAAGCCGCCAATCTCTTCGCTTCTTCGAGGCGCATGAATTCCGCCGCAATGGCTGCCTCGTGTGCTGCCCTGGCGTGTTGTACTTCTGGAGTCAGGGCGACTGTTCCGTCCTTGTTGAGTGCTGCGAGTGGTCCGTTGTAGTGTGCCGATCTTCTTACACGCAATCCTTCTTCAGAAGATGGCGCAACGACAAATGCTGCCGACAGACCAAAGAAGGCTAAGAAGACTACACTTCTGCAGAACATGTCGATTAGTGGAGTGTGTCCATCGATCCTATATATATATATAACTCCCCACCTGCTTACAGTGGCGAAATTGACGTTAATTAATCGAAGGAGCTATCTTCATATTGCGTAAAGTTCAACATAACCAGAATCCAACGGAGCGTATTATGTGTTTATTAAATCTTTTATTGCATTAGATAATTGCAGATATGTGCCAGCTATTACTAAAGTGAACCATGATAGCGTTTTTTTTTCGTTAACCGAAATAAGTATTGACTAGTTGGTCCGTGCGAATAATTCGTAGAAAATTTTGTTTAGTGAAGAAATAGCAAAACAATTTGGAAATAAGTAGTTCCTATGTATTATGTGAGGAAGGAATTAATATTTCATCCTTGGTGGATTAAAATATTCCATTAAACATAATAGACCAAAAAAACTGCTTTGCTGGGTACAACGCATTTAAACGCAGACTGGAAAGATAATAAAAGTAATAAAAACAAAATAATGCACCGATCATGGGATTTTTTAAATTATTAAAACAAATAAAATATAAGAACAAACAAATGCCTTTAAGAAATAATATAGTTAACATATCAGCCAGGAAAAAAACTGTATTACACTATTCTACTCCTAAACGCAATATCTTTAAAGAGGAAGACACTATTAAGTATACCAAAACTAATGAACTGTATCTTTGTTAATAATTGTTCGATTTAGACAATTTTTTTGCAGATAATTTACTAATCTTTCAAATTATCGTGGGTACAATCAAGAAGGTGAAAGAATATTGAAGTTATAACACTTTTTGTGATTTTCGAAAAAATATCCTTAGGTCAAATTTGTAGAAACAATATTTTATTTTTCGATCGCAATGAAAATTCGTATTCGAGGGTCTTCCGAGCTGCGAAATACAAATCTGAACTCTCTTCCTACTTAAAAAAATATTTCAACACACTTTACTCCTTAAACTCGGGTAAATTTATACGATTTTTTTTTTTGTTTTGCAGGTAATTTAGTAATCTTTCAAATTATCGTTGGTACAATCAAGGAAAAATGCATACTTTTTTAGGTATTCGCTAATAAAGTTTCTTTTTCCCCAGAAATTTCGGGGGGATAGGACTATTTTTCGCATGTGAAGGAGAAGAATATCTTCAAAATGAGTGGGTAATCATTGGATTTGATGAACAATTGACGAAGTTATGGCGTACCGACAAAAAAAACACCTTTTAGAAATAATATGTAGGATGCCTATGTGGTATGAAAATAGGTTTATTTCCGAAACCGGATTTTTTTTTCTAGTTATGGAATGAAATTTGCATCTCTTAAATAATCTTTAAAAAAATAATTCATCATTTTTTCGTAGTTTTATTCAATGAAAATTTAAAATAAATTTATTTTACAGTACCATTATTGTAAACAAAACGAATTTTTCTCTACCAACTAAACCCCAATCAACCGTTTTTGTTTTCTTCAAAAAAGGGGGTCTTGATGTTTAATTTTTTCCAAAAACGGTTCTATAATATTTTCAATTTCTATTGAAATAATCAGTAATTGCCCAAATGGACAAGCTAATTAAATATTAAGTGAATTGTTAATTTAACAGTCATGGTAAAATAGGAAGTTTCACTGATTGTTTGTATTTAATAGACTATCTAGATAATATTATATTGAATATCTGATTTAACATGTTTCATGGAATGCATTTGAAAAGAACAGCTGTCTAATGTGAGAGTTCTCACCGGTGTATACCAGTATATACATATACATATAATAGATATACATGTATACATAGATCCCTTTCCTGTGTGCTGTCGCCAAGACAATTAAGATTATTATATTTGATATTGACAATAAAGATAAGTATATTTGACAAAGATTGGGCGAGATATCGAAGGCCGAGACATCTCCCGTAAGTTGTTTAGCTATAACTTATTTATTTATAATATGTTTAATTTATTTATTTAAGAAAGTGGTGGAATGACATTGGTATAGGGGATGACAATAAAGCACTTATAATCACTGGTATTGTTGTCTTTAAAAACAATAAATAAATCGATGTTAGTCCATCCAATAATACAATAGGCTATTAGAACTCCTTTGAAAGTCGAAGTATAAAAGATTCTCCCAGAGAAAGAACGGAAAAAATGGTAAGAGTAATGCCATGCCTGCCTACAATCGGTAAGATCAAACTGATTCTTGACGATGTCTTCAAGCTATCAAGATGGCTCGGGACATACCCGATAGACGAAGAATATTCCAGTATTTCCAAATTGAACCTTGCTAAAGGGGTAATTCTGTACTTCTTGGCAAGTGTCATTGCGATTGAGTCACTCTACGGGCGTTTGACGGTTGAAGAAGTTCCATTATCAACAATAATCACACAATTGCTTAGAATTCTACCAATCATCATTTTACACTGGATAAATTTAGCTTGCCTGGTTTCGAACAGAAAACTTGCAAAGGTAATGTACGACGAACTGATGGAAATCGAATACCAGTTTTGGAAGAACGGGATATATTGGTGTTATAAAACAAGTTGGTGTACCAAATATCTCAGTTGTATTACGATGTTAATTTGTGGAATTATGTGGGAGATATCTTACCACAAAGGCGAAAACATAATAGTCCGTATCCCGAACCACGTTTCCTTCATATCCCTCTTCAGCATCACCAGCCAACACTTGGCGTTACTGCAGCTCTGCCATTCCATACAGAAGAAGATCAGGACCATTGAAGATAGTGAAACTGTCATCAGATTGAGCGATAAACTTTTAAATGTGTGCCAAATTTTGAACACATTTTACGAACCACAATTGCTTCTATACATTGTCAACATATTCGTTGTCATCCTTTCCGAAGTTTACATAGGTATCATCAAAAAAATACATCACTCAATAGGCAATATTTTTTGGAAATTTTCGCTTCTCTATCCACTCGCTCTGATAATTTCACAAGTTGGATACATTTCTTATGAGGTAATCTAATTAATTATATCAATATAACATATCCCAGACAATTATTTAGCTGCGACAAGTGAGTTTAATTATTAAAAAATAAATAAATAAAAAGCTAACAAAGGTTTATGCAGGAAGGAATCATGATCATAGTAATTGTTTGATAGAGTTTAAATAATGAATTTTCAAAATAGCTAACTCTAAAGTTCATTTAAGATAATGAAGTTTCTCAAATCAGTAGTAGTAAGAAATAGGTAAATATAATCAATGAAAGATTTTTATATTTGAAAAAAAAAAAGAAAAAGAGAAAACTTTGTCTGAATAAAAGTAAATTTACAGAAATAATTGTACTGATATATCACAGTGTGCAGTGTGTATAACACACTATGCTTCCAATGCTTGAGGTCCCAGGTTCGAATCTCGGGCCATTGCAGAAAAATTATTTATTCTGTTTAATTGGCCGTGGGGCGATCCTGGAGTAGGGAGACAATTCAGGAGCACACTTAGCCTCTACAAAGTACCCACTTTGTTATTAAATAATTGATTAGGGCGAAAATCTAGCGATCCTGGCCCGATCCCCTCCCTGCACAACCGTTGGCCTTGAAACAGTACTTTCCCTAAATAGTTCTGAATCCATATAGATTGTAGTGGTACAGGTTAAATTGGGCTAATTTTATTCAAATGATCACTAAGAATAACAAGCAATTTATTGCAAAATAAACTGAATAAAAAAATATTATATTTGCGGTTTTGATATAGAAATGTTTTTTTTTTTTTAAATCCACTTTTTGGATTTCATCAAAATTAAAATCCATTCTTGCTTTCGGAGGAGCTTTTATAAAAATACTATCGATTTTCTTAAATCGCAGCAATTGCATATCGTGTTTTTCTAACTTTTCGGTATCTTCTTCATATGGCAATAATGAGGGAGAATAAACTTACAAGTATTTTTGAAAACAACCAATGTTTTATGTATAATGTTTTCATATAAATTAAATTGAAACTTTTAAAACTATTTTGGTGGTTAAAAATATTCCATTAAACATAATAGACCAAAAAAACTGCTTTGCTGGGTACAACGCATTTAAACGCAGACTGGAAAGATAATAAAAGTAATAAAAACAAAATAATGCACCGATCATGGGATTTTTTAAATTATTAAAACAAATAAAATGTAAGAACAAACAAATGCCTTTAAGAAATAATATAGTTAACATATCAGCCAGGAAAAAAACTGTATTACACTATTCTACTCCTAAATGCAATATCTTTAAAGAGGAAGACACTATTAAGTATACCAAAACTAATGGACTGTATCTTGTACCTTTGTTAATAATTGTTCAGTTTAGACGATTTTTTTTTTTTTTGTTTTGCAGAATATTGAAGCTATAAAACTGTTTGTGATTTTCGAAAAAATATCAAAGGCTTCCCCCCTAGGTCAAATTTGTAGAAAGAATATTTTATTTTTCGCTTGCAATGAAAATTCGTATTCTTGGGTCTTTTGAGCTGCGAAATACAAATCTCAACTCTCTTCCTCCTTAAAAAAATATTTCAACAAACTTTACTCCTTCCGTAAATACAAATTGTTTAAATTTTAGAAATTTCTAATAGATTTATACGATTTTTTTTTTGTTTTGCAGATAATTTATTTCAAATTATCACGTGTACAATCAAGAAAAAAATGCATACTTTTTGTGTTATTCGCTAGCAAAGTTTATTTTCCTTCATAACTTTTCCCCCAGAAATTTTGGGGAATATCTTCAAAATGAGTGGTCAATCATTGGATTTGATGAACAATTGACGAAGTTATGGCGTACCGACAAAAAAAAACACCTTTTAGAAATAATATGTAGGATGCCTATGTGGTATGAAAATAGGTATATTTCCGAAACCGGATTTTTTTTTTCTAGTTATCGAATGAAAATTGCATCTCTTAAATATTCTTCAAAAAAAATTATTCATCTAACGCTTTTTTTCGTCGTTTTATTCAATGAAAATTTAAAATAAATTTATTTTACAGTACCATTATTGTTAACAAAACGAATTTTTCTCTACCAACTAAACCCCAATCAACCGTTTTTGTTTTCTTCAAAAAATGGGGTCTTGATGTTTAATTTTTTCCAAAAACGGTTCTATAATATTTTCAATTTCTATTGAAATAATCAGTAATTTCCCAAATGGACAAGCTAATTAAATATTAAGTGAATTGTTAATTTAACAGTCATGGTAAAATAGGAAGTTTCACTGATTGTTTGTATTTAATAGACTATCTAGATAATATTATATTGAATATCTGATTTAACATGTTTCATGGAATGTATTTGAAAAGGACAGCTGTCTAATGTGAGAGTTCTCACCGGTGTATACCAGTGTATACACATACATATAATAGATATATATGTATACATAGATCCCTTTCCTGTGTGCTGTCGCCAAGACAATTAAGATTATTATATTTGATATTGATAATAAATATAAGTATATTTGACAAAAATTGGGCGAGATATCGAAGGCTGAGACATCTCCCGTAAGTTGTTTAGCTATAACTTATTTATTTATATGTTTAATTTATTTATTTAAGAAAGTGGTGGAATGACATTGGTATAGGGGATGACAAAAAAGCACTTATAATCACTGGTATTGTTGTCTTTAAAAACAATAAATAAATCGATGTTAGTCCATCCAATAATACAATAGGCTATTAGAACTCCTTTGAAAGTCAAAGTATAAAAGATTCTCCCAGAGAAAGAACGGAAAAAATGGTAAGAGTAATGCCATGCCTGCCTACAATCGGTAAGATCAAACTGATTCTTGACGATGTCTTCAAGCTATCAAGATGGCTCGGGACATACCCGATAGACGAAGAATATTCCAGTATTTCCAAATTGAATCTTGCTAAAGGAGTAATTCTGTACTTCTTGGCAAGTGTCATTGCGACTGAGTCACTCTACGGGCGTTTGACGGTTGAAGATGTTCCATTATCAACAATAATCACACAATTGCTTAGAATTCTACCAATCATCATTTTACACTGGATAAATTTAGCTTGCCTGGTTTCGAATAGAAAACTTGCAAAGGTAATGTACGACGAACTGATGGAAATCGAATACCAGTTTTGGAAGAACGGGATATATTGGTGTTATAAAACAAGTTGGTGTACCAAATATCTCAGTTTTATTACGATGTTAATTTGTGGAATTATGTGGGAGATATCTTACCACAAATGCGAAAACATAATAGTCCGTCTCCCGAACCACGTTTCCTTCATATCTCTCTTCAGCATCACCAGCCAACACTTGGCGTTACTGCAGCTCTGCCATTCCATACAGAAGAAGATCAGGACCATTGAAGATAGTGAAACTGTCATCAGATTGAGCGATAAACTTTTAAATGTATGCCAAATTGTGAACACATTTTACGAACCACAATTGCTTCTATACATTTTCAATATATTCGTTGTCATCCTTTCCATAGTTTACATAGGTATCATCAAAAAAATACATCACTCAATAGGCAATATTTTTTGGAAATTTTCGCTTCTCTATCCACTCGCTCTGATAATTTCACAAGTTGGATACATTTCTTATGAGGTAATCTAATTAATTATATCAATATAACATATCCCAGACAATTATTTAGCTGAGACAAGTGAGTTTAATTATTAAAAAATAAATAAATAAAAAGCTAACAAAGGTTTATGCAGGAAGGAATCATGATCATAGTAATTGTTTGATAGAGTTTAAATAATGAATTTTCAAAATAGCTAACTCTAAAGTTCATTTAAGATAATGAAGTTTCTCAAATCAGTAGTAGTAAGAAATAGGTAAATATAATCAATGAAAGATTTTTATATTTGAAAAAAAAAAAAGAAAAAGAGAAAACTTTGTCTGAATAAAAGTAAATTTACAGAAATAATTGTACTAATATATCACATTGTGCAGTGTGTATCACACACTAAGCTTCCAATGCTTGAGGTCCCAGGTTCGAATCCCGGCCCATTGCAGAAAAATTATTTATTCTGTTTAATTGGCCGTGGGGCGATTCTGGAGTAGGGAGACAATTCAGGAGCACACTTAGCCTCTACAAAGTACCCACTTTGTTATTAAATAATTGATTAAGGCGAAAATCTAGCGGTTGAGCGTGATCCTGGCCCGATCTCCTCCCTGCACAACCGTTGGCCTTGAAACAGTACTTTCCCTAAATAGTTCTGAATCCATATAGATTGTAGTGGTACAGGTTAAATTGGGCTAATTTTATTCAAATGATCACTAAGACTAACGAGCAATTTATTGCAAAATAAACTGAATAAAAAAATATTATATTTGCGGTTTTGAATTAGAAATGTTTTTTTTTTTTAAATCCACTTTTCGGATTTCATCAAAATTAAAATCCATTCTTGCTTTCGGAGGAGCTTTTATAAAAATACTATCGATTTTCTTATTGCGCAGCAATTGCGTATAGTGTTTTTGTAACTTTTCAATATCTTCTTCATATGGCAATAATGAGGGAGAATAAACTTACAAGTATTTTTGAAAACAACCAATGTTTTATGTATAATGTTTTCATATAAATTAAATTGAAACTTTTAAAATTATTTTAAGCTTGTCAAACAAAAATATAATAAAACGATTTATTTTTCTGGAATTGCTTAAAAATTATTTCATCTTATTTTTTTGAGAAACGAAGTCAAAAAGTGAATGCTGCTAAAAACATTTCAAGCAGAGTTATTAGCTTTAAGCAAAATTTTGGTGTTTTAATTGAGGCGGTAAATTAAAGTTGAATAATGTATAAGCTGCACCATAGTGTTTTTTTTTCTAAGATACTATAAATAGATATATGTCCATAAATTCAAATGCTGATGGTGTATATTGCCCTTTCAAGAAATTTTATTGGTCCCCTCTTCTTAAATACAGTGTAAACGAAAATAAGATGCAAATATCGATTTTATGAAATTACACTATCTCCAAATTGAAACCCTACAAACTTCCCTCCGAAGTTTCACATCTTCGTTAAAAAACGTTCCCTCAAAAATTCAAGACCTCGTAAAAATGAAGTACTCACTAATATTGATAGCGCAACCCTCCTTCCCCTCTGGGCACTCCTGGACAAATCAATATGTTCTCCATGACGACTGTAGAACACAATAACTATTGGATATAGGACCACCAATTGAAAACTTTATTTTGTGTAAAAACATAACCAACTTCGATAGAAGTAGTTTTGATGCACCTTTTCATCAGTTTATTCGAAAATGTCTGGGCCAGAAGGATTTTATTGTGTAACTGCAATGGTAGAAATAGCACCTTGCCAACCTACCATCAGGAAGATACAGGTTGTTCTTGATGCCGTCTTCAAATTCTGAAGAATTATCGGAACATTCCCAATAAATTCTGATTATTCTGGCATCTGCACAGTGGAATGTATCATAATAAGCCTTTGATTTTCCCTCGCTGCAATAATATCATTTAAAACTATCAATGATGACCAGTATCAACTGGCGATAAAGATTGTGGAAGTTATTTAAGGGTTATCATCAGTAATATTTTATTGGACACACTTCGCATGGTTCTTTAAGAAAAGAATACTCCTGAAAGAGCTTTACGAAGAGCTTAAGGATATCGAATACCACTTGTGAAAGAACGGTATATGTTGGTTCTACAAGATTGATTCTTGTAGCAAATATTTATGTTTAACACTATTTGATTCCTATGGGGGGATAAAATATAAACTTTATGGAGTTCCAATAACTATTATCGGGACCATTTCAACGTATTATGCTCTCATCGTATAATGAACCAATATGTGGTTTTGGTTGAAGTCCTATTGCCTATCCTGAGAAGTATAAGGTCGATAGAAGAAAGTGGAAGAGTTAAGAAAGCTGTCTGATAAATTATTAGCTCTATGTCAAAAAATCAATACGATTTATGAACTACAATTATTTTTGTACATCGTTATCATATTCGTAGTCAATTTTTTTTACTTTCACTTACGTATATAAGTAATATATAGTAAGGGTATTGCAATCGAGAAAAATTTTGAATCTGAGTTTTCAACGGAAATAGACGTTTTGAGGTACCCTGAGTCGAAATGACCAAGTCCCGAAAAATAGTCTGTGTGTCTGTGTGTTTGTATGTTAGCAGTCTAGCTCAAAAACGAAAGGTCCTATGAAACTGACATCACGTATTTAAGATAGGTATATGCCTTAGTTGTGACAGCAACTTTTTCCTTAAAATCGGCTAACCGGAAGTGTCACTTTGTATCAACGCCGAAACACATTTTCACACTTTTCTCAAAAACGGCTATAACGATTTTGATTAAACTCGGTGTATCATAGTATAATTAAGTGGTCTTTAATATCAATTAGGTTTTGATGTCATTTTACAGGGCTTAAATGCCCAATGTCTTCCAATACGTCTTCCTCTACAGTACCTTAAATATGGTTCATTTTAGAAAGTTAATCATTTCACATTATTCAAAGTAATGAAAAAATGCTTCATATAACTTTTGAAAGAATTTCATAAGTTAATAAAGGAGAAAAGAAATAAAAATACAGAAAAACCAGCGTGGCTATAGACTGTAGCTCCTAAACGAATGTACCGATTTCAATGAAACTTCGCTAAAGTCATTTTCTCGACACCCTTTAAATTTATCAATATAACATACTTCAACGAAAAGAAGCTGAAAAAAAAGTTACGAGGGATGGTTAAATTAAATTCCGAATAACTCAAAAAAATATACAATTTTTTGGGGATATTGTATATGGTTTTTTAAAAGTTTATGGGATTTCCTAAAAAAAAAAAAAAAAAAAACCGTTAAGATCGGTCAACTAGGAGGAAAGATATGGTCTCTAGTCTTTTTCCCTGAAGAGGCGAAAATTTGGATAAATTTATAATATACTTTTTTAATTGTTGAGACTAAAAAAACCTTTTTTCTACAGATATTTAATAAAGTATCTTTCCTAAGAAAATCTATCATAAGAAATAAGTACCTAAATTTATACCTTAATTCTCAGTTCTATATTTCAACACTGCAATCACCACCTCTGGAATCAACTTACTCATTGTCTGAATAAATAACTTTTTCAACTAGAAATATCACTAACATGACATCACTTGAAAATATTGAAATTGGAGTTAGTCATTCTGAAATTTATAAAAGCAAAGAAAGTTGTGTGGTTTATAAAAGCAGGTGGAGTGACTAGATTTTTATTGCCTACCGTCGATATATTAAATAGACATCTTGTAATTATAATGGTCTTAATGAATTGTTATCTGTAAGCTTTAAGCTTTAGCTCCGTTTAAAATGCACTTCAAAAAAATTTGTAACAGCCCAGCATTGCCAGAAAATAATTTCGATTCATAGTAGATCGGTAAGTGAAAGTTGTGTGTTGCGCGCACCAGATTTTTTTTATTTATATGACAATTCTTATGAAAAAGTCTCTGTCAGAATCAATTACACCTTGAATTCGGACGTCTATTGACATTAATTCAGATAATAATCAGTGTTGGAAACTTTTATAATGAAGTTCTGAAGCATTATAAAATGAATAATGTACTATTGCACTCTTATATTACCATGGAGTGGATGGGCAACAATGATGAAAGGCACACAACGAGGAAGAAGAAGTGTTAATATTCCCATAGATAGAAGGAACAATAATAAAAAACATCCTACAATACTGAAATGCAACAAATCAATACTCAATCCCTAAGAAATAATCACTTTGAAAGCTTTCAATTTAATTTCTCTCAAAACATTACTGAAATCAATAGTAACATAATTTTTCCTCCTCATTCCATCAGTTCAACCGTAGTCCACAAGTTGTGAAATATACATAAAGTATATGCAACATGGTGACAATAATACAACGCCATCCAACGATCTGTAAAATAGAACAGATTCTTCATGATGTCTTCAAATTGTCTAAATGAACAGGGAAATTTCCGATTGATTCTGAATATTCAGAAATCTGCTAGTCGGATCTTGCTAAAGGTATTTTCCTGTACCTGTCGCTAACTGCCATCGAAATCAGATCATCATACATCAACATTTTTTTGGACGAACATGTACAGTTCTCAGAGAAGTTGTATAGAAACGTTTATAACGTATCACCTATTGATTCGTTATCTTTTTTGTTTTTTTGGTAATTTAATTACCTTTTAAAAGTTTTATTATAAATTTTACCGTATAATATATACTTAGGTAGTTAGGCCCCATAACATTTTTCTTTTCTTTATAACTTTTTTTCCTGATTTTTTTTCAGGAATTTAGTTTATATACGAAAATTGAAAGAACAATGATTAAAACATCATAGAAAAGTTTCATCAAAATTGTTAGAGCCGTTTTATCGCTACAGTCTATAGATAAACATGTTTTTCATTTATTACGCGTGGAGTAACGGATTTCTGTCACAGGCATCAGTAGTCAAAAAAAAAAAATAAGAAAAAAAAATAAGAAATATAAAAATAACTACTACAAAATAAAAAAAGAAGCAACAAAATCGGTTCAGTAGTTCCTGAGATAATCTTGGCACAGACAGACAGACAGACAGACCAATGGCTAAAAATGTGTTTTTCGGACTCAGGGGCCATTGAAACGTATAATTCCGTCGAAAACCGCATGTCTGAAATTTGACCCGATTGCAATACTTTCCTTACTTAGTATAGGTAGCAAAGTAAAAAAAAATTATATACCACTACAACCCATGAAGTGTCTTGGGTTCATTCCTTTGTAAAGAAGTACTTTTTCAAGGTCAATGGCTGTCAAAGAGGTGATTGGGCCGAGATCACTCTCAACCGCCATGTTTTCCCTCTTAATTTATTATTTTATTTAGGTTAACCCTGAGGCTGTGTGTGCCCACAGTAACCGAACTAAGGATCGATCCATTGCTGATGAAATACAATAAATTATTACCTGCATTGAGCAAACCCGCTTCCGATAGTTAAATAATAATAATAATAATAACATAGTATTTCTTTAAAAATATTTTTAACATTTTTTTTTATTTTTCAAGGTGAAGAAAACAAACAAGATGTTGTACCGAAGATTATTGAACAATTTAGATGACGTAAGTGACACGAAAGAAAGAAAAATCCAAGATAAAATAGTAGACTAATATAATATAATTGATTAATATATTATTATAAAGTAACAAATTATAATAATATATATTCAATATAATGTGATTTTTACTAAATAAGAAGTAATAATTAATGTTTCTTCATTATTTATTTTTATTTTTTTTTTAAGGAAATATTACAATTCCACTTAGTGGCCAAAAGGGACATCGTTTTTACAGCTAATGGATTTTTTATTCTTGAAAGCACCCTAATCTGTACGGTAAGAGAATGCAGCTGATTAAATATAATAATTTGGAATAATATTGGATAATAGATAAATTTTGAACTTTGGTTTCACAATTTTTACTAACTTTATTTCTAATAACATACAGTGCCGAGGCTGCACTGTTTATTTATACATCCATTTATATCTTATGCAGATTCTTTATAGGTTTATAAATAAATAAAATTCTGCCTACTAAATGGCAATTACACCATAACATGTATAAGATAATTGGAACCATGAGCATGTAATCATTATCATGCCTTAATTATAAAATATGTAAATAAATGATATATATATATAAGCCATTATGTATGATGTATTATGTATATTATGTACAGCCGCCGAACTAGACCTCCTTAAAGTTCGTTTAGAATCTGGCCATGCATCATGTGAACTTTTTTCTTGAAAATTTTCTTTACAGTTTGGCCATTAAGAACTGAGAGATCCAGTAAATATGGATTTAAAAAAAAATCCAATTTTTTCAGATTTATATTGTAATACAGTTGTAAATACTTTGAATAAATAGTTTAAAAAGATAATTTTTTATTTGTTTCAGATGGTTACTTCAGGAATTGACTATTTAGTTTTTTTTCTTCAATACATGTAAGAAAAATAATATGTAAGAACAAATTTTCTCTAAGAAACTAATAAAATATATTATTTGTTGAATATTTTGTCAATATGGCCAACCTTAATATATATGGAAACAAACAAATATATGGAATTGCAAAACCAACACATAAAACGACTTCAAACTTTTCAGATTAAGATACTACGACTAATTAGCCAAACATTCTAGTACGTGTACAATACACACTGACTTACACATGCCAACGATCAATGAACACATACGAACATACTACAAACGATTTCATAATAAGTTACATGGACGCTCCAACCAGCTAATAAAATAAATGGCCACAACTATTATTATAGAACTGTAGAAGACGACTGAAAAGAGTCTGGATGAGGGACCTACTTATGTAATTATGTAAGTAAGTAAAAGTCATGGAAGGGATGCCGCTGGGTATTGCTTTTCCTTATGCCTATCAAGCATTTTATATATATATATATATATTCTTATGATTATGGCTCTCATCTGCTCATTATCGATGGTTATAATTGACAGTTGCGGATTAATAAATAAAGTAATAAAAAAAATAAATAAAAAATTGCAGTCCTTCTTATTCCATTCCATGTATAACTGACTCCATTTACTGACTCCTATTTACAATGTGGTATTGTAAATTTAGTCTATTCTACACACACATTAGATCACTAGCGGATCCAGGATTTAATTTTGGGGAGGCTTCAGCCCGAAAGCTTTTTTTTTTCATAAAAATAACGATAATTATTTTGGAAAAACAGAATGAAACTAACTACCTATATGAAATGGTGTTTAAGTGATTCCTTAAGTCCTTTTAAATGTAATTACACGAACAATAATACTTTAAGAGGTATTTTTAAAAAAAAAATTTCCATAAAACATGGTTATATTTTACCATTTTAGGGGGGCTTCAGCCCGAAAGCTCCCCCTCCCCCCCGTAGATCCGTCCGTGGCACATGCCAACGATCAATGAACACATAGGAACTTACTACAAACGATTTCATAATAAGTTAAATAGACATTCCAACCAGCTGATAAAAGTAATGGCCACAGCTATTATTATAGAATTCAAGAAGACGACTGAAAAGGGTACGGATGAGAGACCTACCTACGTAATTATGTGAGTAAAAGCCATGGAAGGGATACCGCTGGGTATTGCTTTTCCTTATGCCTCTCAAGCATTTTATTTATAAATCTTTCTTATGATTGTGCCAGCTCATCTGCTGATTGTCGATGGTTGTATTTGACAGTTGTGGATTAATAAATGAAAGTGAAAAATAAATAAATAAAAAGTCTACTATTCTTCCTATTCCATTCTAAGTGACTTTAGCGTCGTTTATTCGTATATACAATGTGGTATTGTAAATTTAGTCTATTCTACACAAAAAATAGATTAAAATTCATACTTCTTCTTCTGCGATATTCTATTTGATGGGCAGACGAGGGACAAAGATTAATAGTTCAGTAGTCTTCCTATGGTCCTCTAGGCTTCCGTAAAGTACCTCAGTTAGAGAGGGTCAGATCAGTCTCTTTTGCAGGAATATAACCTGCACGTTTGCAAGATATGCTCCGCATTCCGTTCACCTTCACTGCACTCGCGGGAGCGAAATAGAGCTAATGTGGAGCTGTCTGAACAGGCGGGTTTGAGCCTGCTGTGTCCCGTTTACAAGTGGAAGATTGAGACCTATTCTCGTCGAGTATAGCACCTCTGGGGTCATGATGTGGTTGGCTGCTGTCCCATTGTTGGTTAATATTAGCTTTGTTTAGTATTTTTATCTCTCTAGGCTGAGATTACAGTCAAAAGGCAGACTTGATCACAGTATCCTGCACAGCAAACAACTTTCTTCTGAAAGGACATCCACTCTTCAATCTCTTTGGAGATCCATACTCCACCACGACTGTTAAAATAACATTTTTCTTCATTATTTTGTCTCACTGGAAAATATCTCTCCAGTTTGATAGTTTGCCAATAAGACAGCGCTATACCTGAACATGTACATTTAACTTTTATTAGTTACTTTTAATTTTATTAATCTCCAACACTGTCATCACCACCTATGACGATGACACGTGTATCCTATCAGTTAATAACGATCCATCTATTGCATCCCAAACTCTTCAATCACACATCACAAGTCTTGAAAAATGGAGTCAAAACTGGAGGATTAAAATAAATTCCAATAATTCCCATCAAATTACCTTCACTCTTCGTCGTAAACCTATGACTTCCTGTCCTACAATATCCTTCAACAATAGCCCTCTTATCCCTGTCGAACAAATCCGATACTTAGGACTCCACCTTGACAAACGACTCACTTGGAATCCCCATACCAGACTGAAACGACTAGAAACCGCCCGACGTTTTCGACTACTCCAGCACGTACTAGACAAACGCTCTAAGCTTTCAATCAATTACAAAAGACTCATATATATGACAATAATAAGACTTATTTGGACTTACGGAATTGAGCTTTGGGGCTCCACTAAATCATCGAATTCCTCTCGTACCCAATCATTACAATACAAAATCCTTCGTAAAATCCTCAACGCTCCTTACTTTGTCACAAATAAAATCATCCATAAAGACCTTAATGTTCCACATGTTTCAGATCTGGCCCAATCCAGATACCTATCCTTCCATAATAAACTTCAGAATCATCCCAACCCTCTCGTTTCTAACCTTGCTTCCTCTTCAATTCCTGATAACCCTCCGAGGCGTCTGAAAAGAAGATGGCCCCGTGATCTCCTAATGTAGTCATATCATTAGAGTGCTACCATTGGGTAGTTACTCAGCAAGTGTATTCATGTCATTATATCAATTATGTCCAAATTTACTTATTGCATTTTCTTTGTAATAAAGTTTTAAATTTCATTAAAATAATAAAAAAGAAATTATTAATCTCAAACAGCGATAGTTTCTCAGGCGACAGTTATACCAGCAAATAAAACAACCACCATAGAAGAATAAAACATAAAAAATCAGCCATTGACCCCTGGCAACCGATATGAATGGACACATTAGTAACAAATGTTCAACAAGAAAGAAAACATTGGAAGCGTTCAGTTTATTTCCTGTAAAAACATGACCCAAATCAATACCAGTCTATACCAGCAATAGTCACTTATTAGTTCAACTGAAGAAGTCAGAGGGCGAAGAATATTGAATTATATTGAAGCATAAATAGTATGGTTATAATATCACCATCCCAATCGCCCGCTGGTGAGATCGAACTGATTCTTAATGACGTCTTCAAGTTATCTAAAGTGGTTGGAGCATTCCCGATTGATTCGGAATATTCACGTATATGCAAAGTTGGTCTCGCGAAAGGAATACTATTTCACCTAGGAGCAACAATATTTTGCATCAAGTGGGATTTAAAAACGGAATTGATGTTTGCAGAACAAATGGTATCTATGTTACAATGCATAATGCCAACAATTTATTATTGTATTCATTTAACATCGTTGAAAAAGAACAGAGTGCTCTTGAAGGAACTCAAAGACGAGCTGAAGGATCTTGAGTACAACTTGAGGAAGAACGGTGTATTTTGGTTATATAAGCTACATTGGTATGAGAAATACCTCTGTATATGTTTGATGATGGTTGCTGGTATATTGACAAAAGCAACAGGGAATTTTGTTTTTCTAGAAGAATTTTTGTACTTTATAATTTCCATAGTTAATATGGCCATAATAAATCAGTACATAATTCTGGTAAAGATCTTACAATCAATCCAAAGAGATATAAGGTCGATCGAAGATAGCAAAATAGTTATGAAGTTGACTGAAAAACTACTAGCTCTGTGTCAAAATATCAATACGGTTTACGAGCCACAGGTATTTTTCTATGTCTTCTTCTCATACATCCTCATTATTTTATCAATTTACATATTGATTCTCAATTACGAAGTGTTAACCCTTATCAACGTAATCTGGGCTATGACGTTCTTGTCTCCCCTCGTCCAGTTAGTTATGTATGTTGGAAATTTTTCACAGGAGGTAATTAATCTTTTTTTTTTTAATAACGTTTTAACTTTTAATCCTTATATATAAGTAAATTGTAGTGAGATTCGTCTAAGATGTTGCAACTAATGCTTATGTTGTGGTGAGTCTAAAAGGTGGTGTTGGAAAGACGATTAATATAAAGGAGTATTAATACTATTTGAGATATGGAACGGTTTAATAAAGCATCTAAAAAAAATAATTATTTTTTAAACTTAAATATAATTTTTTTTTGTCTTTAATTCTTCATCCGCACCTGTCGGATGGTAGTGACAATTAACAGATTTGCTGTTAAGTTGAAAATGGCATGACGAAGAATGGAGCCCAGCAGCACCTCTTGGCATGTTTACATCCTAAAATCAGGAAAGGAGGTCTCTCATCCAGCTCCTTTTCAGTCGCCTCC